CATCTTGGTTATCAGATCAGTCTTCACAGAATCACAAGGCTTGTTTAGGTAACCTTTATTGTTTTTAGTAATGGCCTCAAACGGTGAGACAACTGATCCTGGACATCTTCTTACACTGCACTGTTCTATTTCATTATTAGCAATTAGTCATCTCTTACTGTGCTTAATTTATAAATTAAACTTTATCACAGGTCTGTAAAGGAATTGGCAATAGAGGATTTAGTATTAGAAGCAGTTTCAGACATTCAGGCAACATTACCCCGCAGGTAAGAAAGGATCACTGCTTTCCATCCCTGGATGCCTACGTTCTATGAAAGTAAGGAAGGGCAGGAGAGGGAGGCAATCTACAGGGAGACAAATTGTTCTGGAGAATTTGACTTAGCTGACCTCTACAACTTCTTCCTACTTCCTCCTCCTCTCTCTCCCTCCCTCCCTCCCTTCCTCCGTGTGTGCGTTTTTAAAATCATCACTTTAAATCTGAAAGTTCCTCAAATTTTTTTCAATGAATTAGTAACTGGGATTTTATTCAGTCTCAAATCTTTAGCAAAATATAGTTCACCAGTACTTCCCACTCTATCCAAAGACATTAATCTTCAGTTCTCTCCTTGAACAAATCAGGTATTCTAATTTCCTTTGATTCAGTGTAGCACACCAGAAATAGCTATAGCTACTTTTCACACACAAGTGCCTGTTACTTCTACCTTCACAACCTTCATAGTAAAGATTGATTCCTTCTTCTTCAAACATCCCCATTCCCACCATTACAATCTGCTATTTCTCTTTTTAAAAAAAAATTTTTTTTATTTTATGTGTATGAGTGCATTGCCTGCATGTGTGCAAGTGCATCCATGTCTTCAAATGCCCAAGCAGGTCAGAAGAGGGCGTCAGATCCCCTGGAACTGGAGTTATGGACAGGTGTTAGCTGCCATGTGAGTGCTGGGAACCAAACCCGGGTCCTCTGTAAGAGCAGCCAATGCTCTTAAGCCCTGAGCCATCTCTCCAGCCCCCAATCTGCTGTTTCTTACACTTCCAAGTGGTCTTCCTTCATACTCCTACCTTTCTGTCTTCTACTGCAGTCAGTCATGAAGAGCCAATTTGTTTATGGCATTTTTTTTCTCCTTAAAATCCTTTGGCTGCAAATTTGTACACAGGATAAAGGGAAAACCATTTAACAGCACCTACAAGGCTTGGCATGGTCCAGGACCCCACCATGACAGGTTTCTCATTCTCTGGGCTCCGTCCATAGGGACCTTCTCTCAACTGCTCACTCTAGCTATCCCGCTCTTCTTTCCTTAGCAAAAAGCAAATAAATACATAAATACAAAAACAAAAGCCACGTAATCCTGGAGAAGACATTTATGATCCCCATGACACAACTCAACTCCTCAGCCATTGTAAACATGCTCACCGTCACATGGTTTTCCTGTGCAGGGCTTATTACATTTGCAATTAGGTCTCTGACCATGTCATTATTTATATTGAAGAGCTGTGGCAACTCCATTTTAAAACCAACCTCCATTTTATTAAACACCCCAGTTGAATCTTTCCAGTAAGAGCAGTTCCTGGAATACCCAGAGACCAACTGCCACAAACAGTCAAAACTGCCTCCCAACCACAAAACGGTCAAAATAGCCTGACAACCAACCAACCACCTACGGCCCCATACATTCACCCCACCATGACGTAAGGCTGCGGTGGGCCCCCTATAAAAGGGCAGCCCAAACGATGGACTGGGCCTTCTCATAGAGGTGGGGCACTAGTCTCTGTGTTAAGGTCCCTACCACCGTTTGTACTTATGTTCAATAAACCTTGCTTTTGCAGTTTTGGAAGTGTCGGGCAGTCGCTGGTCTCTTTGGGGTCCTGAGGCTGAAGTATAACACTATAATGCCTGCCTTTCTGAAGACAGGAACCATGTCTGTTTGTCCATATTATTTATTTCCAGTGCCTTTGATAGAACTTGGCATGTAGGTATTTAATAGGTATTTGGTCAATGAATGTCATCTGCAACAGGAGACAAAAAAAGTCTGACTTGAATGTCTTTCTTTTTAAATTTAAGTTCACCCAGGCCAATAGTCCAATGATCTAAATTCTAGGGAAAGGAGAGAGTAAATAGGATATTGCCTTTTAGATAAAATGATGAAATATTAGCCTAAATTTACTCATACAGTTACTAAAGGTCTACATAAACAAGTATAATCAGTGACATACTCTTCCCCCAACAACTGAATAAAAAATTCAATGAGTCTTTATTAAATGGTCTGGGCCTCTTCACGTGTTTTGGTTTTATAAATAACACTCCGTTTTTATCAATGAAAAAAATAAATGGTCTTGATATTTAAAATTTCTTAAATGTAGGAGGGGAAATAATCTGGCATAAAAAGCAAGGAAAGACACAGTATTTTAGTTTGTAAAATTGGTTTATTTACAATTTGGTATTTTTAAAATTATATCTGAAAATTTTATTTTTATATATTTCCCTGGTAGGCATTCTATATTTACTTAAATATGGAGGCAAAGGGTAGGAAACCTTAGTAAGTTTGAATTGAAGAGATTTACCTACTGCTACAATCAGTGAAATTTAACTTCTAATCCCTGAGAATTAAAGTGTCAAAAATATTTTCATACACTCAAATGTTAAAAAAAAATAAGAACACAGGAAATAACAGAGCTACAATTACTCTTCCTACAAATGGCCATATGCCATTTCTACAAATTAGTAGGTGTATGCAGTTGCATCTAAATTCATTAGGTATACCTAAAGAGACTTAAATGCTCTTAAGTGCTCAATTTCTTGTGGTTTCTCCCAAATGAAAAATACTACTGAAAACTGATAATTTATGTTAATGATGGAAATGCTCACAGCTAGCAGAAATTCCTTCCCTCTTCCTAAACTTCTCTATCTTAGACCTATTGCAGCTTTTACAAAGTCACTTTGGAACGAGTCACTCCATTTTCTTCAGACGTCAACAGAGGATAATTATAGCTCAAAGCAACGTATAAGGATGAACTGATGCTCACAAGCCACTGTGAGAGCTGCAAGGGAATTCTTTTCTGGTGAGTGATGCTCTCTGTAAAACGTGATACAGCTACAATGCATCTCAGCATGTCCTTGTTAGAGATGGCCAGTTGATACTCCAGAAGAGCACTATTTATCCTTGAAGTCCTCACTAAACTTCCTTGAGAGGCAAGGAAATGGCAATTCCCCCCACTTCCTCCACAGGAGGAAGGACATGACCATAAAAGGATATGACCATAGCCAACCAGTTAAGTCAAAATAAAACCGAATAAACAAACCAAACACTGCATGCAGACACAGTTTTCCTTATGTGTACAACACAGTAGTCAATTTTTCATTTTGGAAGACGTTAAATACCACTAATGACATCTGTTTATTTGTCTAAA